AATATGTTAAAACTGAAAACAGTCAGCTAAGAAAATAAAATTTTAGTTGATTAATCTTACAACTTTAATTGACTATATTTGCATGTGAAGAAAAACGGCAGACTTTGTTTATTTTTAGGTGATAACATGCATATTTTGTAATAGGCCATGTGCGCTACTTTAGAACCACCACCTACTTATGTGGGCAGAATTTCTGTCATTTTCAGTTTTTGCTAAGAAATGTGTTTTGTTTTGAAAAATGTGTTGCCCTGTTTAATTGGCAAAAGCGTCTTAGTATATTAATTTTAATACATTCATCTAAGCACTTATTAACTCGTTAAGACCAAAGGAAAATGGTATTGTTAAGTAGAATAAGGTGACAGATTCTGAGGTAATGTAAAGGCAGGAAACAGTTGATTATTTAATGATGTTTTGATGATGCCGAGAAGTTCCTTTTTTAATTTTCTGCTCCATTCTAAAGGAGTATTGGTTGGTTTCAGCTTGCATCTCAAAACCTGAGGGAAGAGATTTCTGCTCTACAGAATTAGTGCTTGTCGCCACTTTGGTGCCACTTACTTTGCTTTTGATTTGGCTTCTTTATGATTATGAGCATAGGGAAGGGGTGGGCAACCTGTGGTCCTCGGATGCTTTGGCCTGCAAAAGTGACCACCCTACACCATTGGCTATGCTCACTAGGGCTCACAGTAGTTGTGACCATCGAGGTGTTTCACCTACAAGTTGTCTGGTCCTGGGCAGGACCTCAAAAGAGTAGTATCATCTCAGCTTTTTCTCCTCCTTTGCTCGACTGTTCATTTTTCATGTGGTGGTGATAGACTTGTTTTGGTAACTTTCAATAAGTATAACTCCCAGTATGCATTGCTGGTCTGAGATGAGGTAGTCCTAAAGTGTCAGAGTGTCCAAACAATCTCGGTGTTAGCAATCGAACTGTGCACTGTTTTATGCTTCTCCCTTGAAACCTTACGTGACTTTGACATCCTTGCTGTTCTATGGCACAGCCTCCACTCATTAAAAATTACCCTCTCAGTTGGCCTAGTTTTGTACCTCACATATCACACTGTCCTCCTCTACATGAGCTCACCATTATTTGCTACATCTCTATGTATATTTTCCTACTGTCTTTCTTGACCTATTTGCTTTGCTGATACTTTTGGCCTTTCCTTACTATAAAAAAATGGTAAATGAGAAGGTGCTTAAAGAAGGACCACAAGGTTGTTGAAAGGGGAAGAAGGCACTGGCTCTGAACACAAACAAAGAGAGCTTAATAGGTAAAGGTTTTGAGCAAGGACAAGAGAGCATCAAAAGCAAATAGCAAATTATGACAAGGTTACTGTGGATAAGATAATAACGGAAATGATTGTACAAGTAGGAGGGTGCTGTAGTGCTATTAAAGAGATCTATTAAAGATCAAACTAAATATAGCAAATTCTTAGTTGTGTCGTTCAGCTTCTTCAAATACTGGAACTATTCCTTGAGTTGTACATAGAATACAATTTGCTTCTTGGGTTTCCTTCTGCACTGTTTCTGTTTCAACCACCTAATAATTTCAGATTTGGACATCTTGAGGAACAAACCTGGAATGGAATTCCCCTAGATTGTTTCATGAAGAGCTGGGCAAGTGGTCAGGTCATTAACAAACTATGAGTTCTTTAATCATACAAACTATATGACACTATGCGATGTAAAAACACTGGGTTGTATAGAATGTGTTGTATCCAGTGTTGGTTTCCAAGTCCCGTTCATTTCAGTTGGTCACTGTTTAAGTAGGACTAACATTGGATACAAGTTGAAGAGAGAAGATACATTGTTGGGGGAGGGAAAGAGGAGAAAACACATGAACCAAAGCCATAGTAGCTTTGCCTGCATCTGAATGGGATAATGTTGCTTATAATAAGACCTAAACTGAGGTAAGGAGATGCTGTCAGCTATATAATATCATCTCATTGTGTGTCTTCTATGCATCCTTAGGTCTTTAACTAAAAACTTTTTAAATTTAAGGTTGTTTGAAGGTAATCGTTTTTGCCAGGCAATTGCCCTGTTTAATACATATGTAGGTAGTGAGAGTTCTTTGGGGCTACTAAATAGTCCAACAACATCTTTTAGACTTGGCTGGTCTGGGAGATTTTCTAAGGACTTGTGTAACTTACTAAGGTTTCCTTAGAAGAAGGATGGGATATAAAAAAAATAACCAAGAAATAAAGTGCATTCCTTTGCTGGGAAAAGTGGAATGATTAGATCAACAAGGAAGTATAATACCTACAAGTGGGAACTGAAAATGACTTTTGTGTGTGTGTGTGCATGCAATTGAACAAATCATCAATTTTCTCAAACAATCCAGTAAGTCATAATAGTGAGCACATTCCTGGGTTTCTTCATGTAGTAGGTTGGTTATGTAAGAGATATGTGAATATATATATGTATAATTTCAGTGAGGAGTTGTTCCTTCTGCTTTGCCAATTCTTTGAACTGACCTTTACCTCGTTCTGACAGAACAGGACAAGACTCTGAGTGACAATGTCCCACAATGCAATTACTGTGCGTCAGATGAGCTAGTCCCTTACAAATCACCTCGAACTTTACACATCTGCTGGCTGTCAGCATCTGCCAGGTTCATTCACCCGAAAATAATGAAAAAAACTCTCATTATTGTGCCATAACAGGTAAAGTGTTAGGACAATTATTGGACAGCCCGAGTGACCTTGGACAGTCTTAGCCAACTGTCCTTGCCAATTTTCATAGGGGGGTCAGTCTATGAGTATGCAAAATAAAAACAGTGTATTCTATCTCCCTGCTTTTACATGACATAAAGGTTATGACATGAGTTATGGGGTAGAGGTGGAGGAGAGAAATCAAGGGATCATGTTAGAGCACTGTTACTTTCTAAATTGCTGCTGTTGTTCCTCCTGGAATAAGGCAAAATGATGGAAAGAGTCAAACCCATCCACTAAGGTGAGTTCACCTACAAGTCTGAAGACTGGCTATTTGAAGTTGTGTTTGCAACTTAGTGCAATTTTCCATTTCTTTCCACCTTAGTCTGTATGATCTTGTTCGGTCATGTTGTTTTTCTACACTTGTTTATTCATGGGGAGGTGATCAGGCCTTCTCCTTGAAACAAAAGATCTGCTTTCAAGCACATTATTTCATGAATAAACTAATCAACCAAAGCAAAATGTAGTACCAAACGGTGTGAAGGAGCAAACATGGAATGGATCTGAAAGGAATGTGAAGTTGTTTTTCAGTCTTTGCAAAATGTCAATTTGTGGAAGTGTTGTGTTCATCTAAGATGAAATCTTTGCTTAAACTGAGACAGAAGTGACTAATATAATGCTGGATGAGAGAAGAAGTAACTTGTAGACAAATAAAAATGCACAAATAGGAACATAAGAAGCTAGCATATATTGAATAAAGAAAGGTGGTTTTGGTTTGTTTTAAATGGTTAAAACCTTCAGGGCATTATCTATTATTAGTCTGTTATCCATTATCAGACTATTCCCACCTGAGATTGGAAAGAATAAGATTCCTAGTTAGATAGGACCAGACAGATTTGAGCCTTGTCAGTTCTTGATTCACAGGTTGTATATTTGTCTCCTACTGTTCACAGGAGTTGTGATAAAGTTTAAATGCCAAGAGCTGAATGGGGATTACAGAACTCCCTTCTGAGCCCAGCCTGTATCACATAAATGCTGATTTTTGTGGTTATACATCATGAGGTTAATTGGTATTACCTCAGTTAATTGGCATTATACTCTTGCCATCCACACTTATGATGAGGTCATGGATAAGAACTGTCCGCACTTTCTGTCGTAATTCCTTGACTAACAGCACATACTATTAGACATCTGAAGTGAGTCACAGAAAATGGAATATTCTAGTGTGGTCTGACATTATTGTATGCTTCCTCTGTAATATGCAATATTTCTCACTGCAGGTCATAGTAGACATGATGTTAATTGCATGACTACAATTAAGGTCTCTCATTTTTAGCATTTAAATAGTGAGGGGGTGGGGGAGCAATCATCATAGGACCAAGGGCCATGGGGGTTTAACCCTTTCACTCCATGCCAGTTCCAGTGAAAATCATCAGCTTGAAGTTGCTATTTGTTTTGGTAACTTCTCTTCAGGGGAATATGGGTTAAGCTTCAGGGTTAAACTGCTCCCTCCACAATCCTGATTACCTTTCCTGTGGGTGCCATTTAAAAAAAATGACATTAATTACAATCGGACCATTAATGGTCAAAGTACTAACATGCTGAATTCAAGTACATAGTGACTTTATCTCTTCCTGTGATATGACATAAGCAGAATTGGTAAGGAAGTCCCAGTACCTGTGGTCCAAAGCAACAATACTGGGACAGATTTGCATTTGACTATGTACCTCTTTTTTGATGCCTTGTCCTATTCATTTCTCTCCTTCTAATTTAGCAAGCTATCTTAGGAATCTTAGAAGTCTACTGCTTCTGTTTATTTCTGTCATATGCAGGGTAGAATGCTTTGGATGTTGGTGCAGTTCTGTGCTGGGCAAGAGTGATTTTGTTGTTTTCAAACTGTTGGCATTGAGAGAGAAGAAACATTAGTGGTCTTCAAAATGTGGTAATTGTAGATAACCTAATTATCTAATTTCAGTTTTCCTCTCACTTTATTGAACATTGTTTTAGCAAGAGGTCTTAGCCTGTTTTCAGATGGCAGTTCCTTCAGTAGCAGTCAAAATGAGAAATGACTAGGCAAGCACGTCAAAGAAGAGATATGAAGCAGAGTGTGACTTTGACCCAGTATTGCTGTTTCATGCCAGCTCTGCTTACTAGTTTCATTACTAGCTCTGCTCCTGCCTTAGCCCAGGGGTAGATTTGGCAAACCTTTCATCCAGAATGGCACTTGTACTTTTGATCTGAACTAAAATACTGCTCATCCAAGAAGGGCATTACCATTAGACACAATGCTAGCAGGCTGATTTTGCGCATCACGAAAGGACAGAGACTGGTTAGTTATTGTCTGTTTACTTCTAGGGCAATGTACCTCTGCAACTCCCTGACTCACGTTCCAAAATAACTTGGACATCCTTTGAGAGTGAGATGCCATTTGCTGTGCTGCCACTGGCCCAAAAACGTTTGGGCTGACTTTTGAGCTGTACCAGTTTGATTGGCTTAAGTTGGTCCGGATTTCTATGCACTGATCTTTTAAGAAAATTAATGAACGAACTGCTGTTCCAGTAAGCAATCTTCTCCAATTATAATTTACACTTTAAGCTTTGAGTCATATAATTATTCTTAAAGCCTTGATTGAATCTAAAATATATTTTGGTGTGTATACTTCAGTTTAAACTATATTTGAAATAACAGATGTGGAGTACTGTCATCTTAACTGTCACACCAATTGTTCATTGTTCTGAGAAGGTCACATCATAATTCATTAACAATAATTATTCCCAGGGTACACGCCACACTTCTTTACTCAATTGCTTCATTAGCTCATGAGTGATTCTCAAATTCATTGCTCCAATCAATGAAGATATATTTATAATATACAAGTGGATGCTATTAGTTACAATATATTAACTGCCTAATTTAAAATAGAAGAGCTATCTTTATGAAGGGCAATTAACCACTAAGTGTAATTGATAATTCACATACCTATGATTAGGAAAGACAAATAATACCAAAAGAATGAATTTAGAGATAACATATCTGGGTATTTGATATGGTCATTTCCTAGTTTTCCATTGGGGATCACATTTTTCAGAACTGCATCTCATAGATATATCTTTTCTAAATTGAATGGATTGTGTGTGTAAAGGCATGCACCCACATGAATACCATACTGTAAAAAAGCATGTCTTGGGTGATTTTAGATTTTGATATCTTTGGGAAGAGGCTCTGTATTATTTATTTCATTCTGAAAGTAAAAAAGGTATACAGGGGCCATTCTGAGATAGAGTGGTACCTCGGTTCACAAACTTAATCCATTCCAGGACTCTGGTCACGACCCGAATTGGTTGTGAGCCAAGTCAAATTTCCCCATAAGGTTCAATGTAAATAAGGTTAATCCGTTCTGTAAATATTGTTTTAATCACAAAAATTTGAAACAAAGCAACAAAGAACAACGAAGTAACAAATTATGGTACAGTAGAGAACACTAACCTAGGTGGGGAGGAGGTTATTGTTTGGAGGGAGAGTCCAAATGATAATTGTGCGATTGCAATCGTGCTGGGGCGGGGGGAGGAGATGGCCACGATCGTGATTGTGCTTGTGCAGGGAAGATTGGTGCAATGGTGATCGTGCTCATGCACAGAAGACGGGTGCGATCGTGCTCAGGGGGAAAGACGAGCGTGATAGCGATTGCGCTCATGCGGCAACATGGCCATGATTGTGGTCGTCACCCAGTGCGGAGTTCTGAGGAAATATTTTTCTGAAATTTCTGTTTGCAACCCAATTTGGTCATGCACTGAGGCGGTCATGAACTGAGATACCACGGTACTTTCCAATTGTGAATTACTTATAGCACAAGCTTTTTATATATGATACTCAAGCATAAGTCCCATTATTTTGAAAAGGGCTTACTCCCAGATAAATGTCTATGGGTTTGCAGCTTGATTTATAATTTTCTGGCTTGGATCCTGTGCATATTTGAGCTTCTCTTGGATTTTACCACTACCTGACTTGCAAGAATAGCAGTTTGGAAAATATGTTCCTATATGAAGTCAGAATCACTAACAGCATGGATAATGCCTAGTTCTTTGCTTGCAATATCCCATTAAACTAAGAATATTTCTCTGTGTCCAGAATTTTGAGAAGCACAGGAAACAATGACCCTTATTGTTGGTTGAGAGGGGAAAGTAATCTACCCTGAATCCTTGAGATTGTGCACAATAACAATCAAATGAAAGGGGATTTGAACGGTGCCAGATATTTTGAGTCTGAATTCAGATTGTCCAATCTGCAGCCCAGGTTGAAACATGCTGTGCTAGTCTTCAAATTTTGTTTGAGATGAATGATTTGGAAAAGCAGTTAATACAGTAAACAGAGCCTGGAAGATGTATTTTAATTTTAATCTTTGTATAGTAGTGATGTTAGTGGCTCTGTAAGATAACAACGTAATGATCACTTTTAAATAGAGAATTGATTAATTGAATTCTAATGTGTGTGTGTGTGTGTGGGGAGAGAGAGAATTGATGTTGATCTAGTACTAGCATTGTTGTTGTTAGTTGCGAAGTCGTGTCCGACCCACTGCGACCCCATGGACAACATTCCTCCAGGCCTTCCTGTCTTCCACCATCCCCCGGAGTCACTTAAGCTCACACCAACTGCTTCAGTGACTCCATCTAGCCCATGATCTCTATTGCAGTGGCAATAGCAAATGTTGGCATGACAAGTTTTTCCAGAATAGCAATATTGGATACTGTGTTGTATATATATGCATGCTACTCTGTATATTTTTATTGTGTAAATGTTACAAACAATATAATTGAGTTATTTACATCTAGACTTGGAATAAATTATTCTTACCTTCTTTTGCTTTTATTACTATTAAAATTATTTCTGGACCATTTTTAAAACTCTAAAGAACTGATAATTTAAATTCTGAATTCTGTAGCTGATTGATTTTTATGTTTCATCATTTGGCTCTGACAGGATCAAGGCATCTGGCCTGAAGTTGCAGTTCTGCACCAATGAAACTCAAACTACCAGGGATAAATTTGTTGGAAAGCTGCAGCATTTGGGCTTTGACATTTTGGTGAATGAAGTCACCGCTCCAGCACCAGCAGTCTGCCGAATTCTGAAGCAGCGTAACCTGAGGCCGCACCTTCTTGTACACGATGGTCTGTTAGCCTTTTGTGCTGGGAACACCTTTATTTATAGTAGAACTAGCTAGTTTGTGTGTGATAGTCTCCCTTCTGCACTGAGTGTAATTCACATGGAAACTCTGTTAGTTTTGGTGGTAAAATCCAAAGATGCCACAGGGGAACAGTCTTTGATGCGTGATCTTCACCTCACCTAAAGATGATTTTCAGTAGAGGGGCTTTCCTTATCCTATGAAAACCAATGCATGAATCACTCCATTGGATTCAGTAAAGGAGAAGAAAAGCTGGAACATGACTGGAAGAGTGAAGTTCACTTCTCACCAAAGAACTGTGGTACAATAATATCCTTGGTGTATGCAGAGGTGACCTTTGCTCCCTGCCCTGTCCTTTGGCAGGAGGTTTTGCTCTCCGTTTTAAAACCATTGTACAAGTTACTCCATCAGCTTTAATAGGGAGGGAATCAAAAGAGAGAATGAAAGTGAGAGAGAGAAGGAGCAAAAGAGGATTCTGAGAGACAGAGAGAAGGAAGGAAGAAATCAGGGAGAGAGAGATAAGAGCCATAGGGGTGGAAGGAAGGTAGGTAGGCAAGTACGCTAGAAAGAGGAGCGAGAAAGGCAGAGGAGCCAGGGTGGAGAGAGAAGATGTGGGAAGAGGGAAGGAGAGAGAAGCCAGAGTGAGTAGTGCACACACAAGATGCCCAGTCACTCACACACATGCAAACAAAGATAATGGGAGGGTGCTCTGAGATTTGCCTCCACCCACCGTCCCTCATGACAGCTAAGTTGCAGTGGTTCCTAGGATGCTTTTTTCAAAATGTATCCACAGGCCCCAAAAGAATGGAGATGCTTCTGCTACTTTGGGTATTTCCTGCAGCACATAGAATGGAGCATATCTCAGACTAATTTTGCCCACTGGCACCAGTTTTACTCTATGTCTCCCAAGATTTTCAGCACCATTCCACCCCCAGGAAGGAATGGAGGCTGCTGGCAGGGTGACCACTGGTTTATACAACACTGTAACTTTTATTCAGACGGAACTCTCTTTCCCTGAATCTTCCTACCTATATCTGGACCTTTCTTTGAACTTTCCTTCCTGTTATAACTTTTTCCTCACTTGAGCCCATTGCTTGACTGTTCTCTGTTTGCCATGGCATTTCAAGACTTTGTCTGCCTGAATCTTAGATCTTGTCCTGACTTGTCTTCTATGTGGCCAGTTCTGTTGTAGATCCAATCCAGCTGCAGTGCCAACCATGTTATGGGATTGTTGTTCCCTTTCATGACTTAAAATCCCTACAGGCTGAAGTCCAAGGGTCTCAGCTGGTTCCCATCTGGTCCATCAAGCAGCAAATGAAAGATGTGATTGATTTGATTTAGGATTTTAAAAACCCCAAACATGGTAATAGTTGGTGCTCATGGTATGAATCCCTCATGTCACAGAAATTAGATCATCTTAAACATATATCTGGTGGAACCAGGATGTTTACATATGATTTCATTAGAACCAATTCTCCCTTCAGGCTGAGTGAGGCAATTGCCTCAGGAGGGCAGATCCTGGAGGAGCTAGCTAGCTAGCTAGCTAGCTAGCTATTTATTTATTTATTTATTTATTTATTAAAACATTTTTATGCCGCCCCATTCGCCGAAGCCTCGGGGCGGCTTACAACAATAAATTAATATAAACATTAAAAATCCAAAAAATACAATATAAAATAAGCCGCCCTGGCCAGATAAAATCAGTTAATACTAACAGTTAAAATACCGCTTAAATAAAAAGGTTTTCGCCTGGCGCCGAAAAGCAAATAACGACGGCGCCAGGCGGACCTCTCTGGGGAGCGTGTTCCATAAGTTGGGCGCCACCGCAGAGAAAGCCCTCCTCCGAGTAGCCACCCTCCTAATTTCCTTCCCGGAGGGTTCCCGGAGAAGGGCCTCTCCCGCTGATCTCAAGGGGCGGCTGGGCATATATGGACGTAAGCGCTCCTTCAGGTAACCAGGACCCAAGCCGTTTAGGGCTTTATAGGTCATTACCAACACCTTGAATTGGGCCCGGACTTCAATGGGAAGCCAGTGAAGCTGACGGAGAACTGGAGTCATGTGACCATAACGCCCAGTCCCCGTCAACAGCCTGGCAGCTCTATTTTGAACCAACTGAAGTATCCGGACCGTCTTCAAGGGTAGCCCCACGTAGAGCGCGTTACAGAAGTCAAGACGGGAAGTCACCAGTGCATGTGTCACTGTCGCCAGGCAGTCGTTCTCCAGGTAGGGGCGCAGCTGATGAATCAGCCGAAGCTGGAGGAAAGCGCTCCTCGCCACTGCTGTTACCTGAGCTTCCAGTGAGAGCTCCGGGTCGAGGAGCACTCCCAAGCTGCGGACCTTGTCCCTAGGAGGGAGTGCAACCCCGTTCAGGGCAAGGGTCACTTCACCCTCTCCGAAGCCCGATCCGCCAACCAACAGGACCTCCGTCTTGTCTGGATTGAGCTTCAGTTTATTGGCCCTCATCCAGCCCATTACCTCGGCCAGGCACCGGTTCAGCACAGCCACTGCCTCACCTGGATTGGTGGAAAACGAGAGGTAGAGCTGGGTATCATCAGCGTACTGATGATTCCGCAGCCCACACCTCCTGATGACCTCTCCCAGCGGTTTCATGTATCTTAGCTATTCCCCTCTGTTGGCAGACAGAACTGTGTGTGTCATGCAGCTTGCCCTCCACCCTCTAAGCTGCTGTGTCAAAGTAAGTTTTAACTGCCAGCCTGATCAATATATGTATGTAGAACTGCACAGGAAGGTGGTGCCATCTTGTCCTTCGTTTAAGACAATAATGTGTCTGGGGCCAGCCCTGACTTCATTCAAGATCAGCAATGTAATATAGTTGCACCCAATAATGAGTACTATCATTTTTACTCTTAAGTTATGAGTAGACTGGACTACACAACCTCTATGGTTATGAGGTCCTTAGAAGAACAAAGGTTGGAGGTCTGGATGAAGAAACAGAATGTAAAATCTGTACTGAAACTGCAGATTGCAAGACAAATCATAGTCAATAGTATATAATAGTTTCACCCTTTTCTACCAGTTTATTTATTTCAGATGTTTATAAGACTGCTTTCAAGGTAACTACTTCCTTACTCCTTTCCTCATCCAGGCAACATACAACAAAACTACAGAAAATAATAAAACAGTAGCAATAATAAAAGCAGTGATAGAATCAAGATTAACAGTTAAAAAAAACCAACTGTATCATATATACAAGGGGAATTTCTGTCAACAGAAGGGCCAGATCCAATTTCAAGGAAGTGCTCAAGGGCAGGTGGGGCTAAAGGCAAAATGGGCTGGGCCATATTTCACTTAAAGCTTGTCCTACTAGTAACTAAGCTGAAGGAGTGGTATTTGTAATGGGGGGGAAGATTTATACAAAAGCCAGGAAACCAGCAAATCATCATCATCTAGGGGAGAGGATACATGACCCTCTGAAGAACTGCAGAGGGACAGATTTCACCCATAGGCCTAAGGTTTAACACAACACTCCTAATATGCACAGTGGACCCAAAAAATATTAATTCCAGGCCAAGGTAAAAAGGCAGCTCTTCAGGGGCAACTTGAAGGCATGCAATGGCAGGACCTGGTGGATATACGTTGAAATATAGTTCTACTCAGCCACTACTGAGACACTGCTTTTTTTAGTCCTTCCAAGTCATGAGCTGGTATTTCAGAAGTTGGAATATGCAAGCCCAGTCAAGACTGGACTGCTTTAGTTTACTCAGATGCTCCTGTTAATCAATGCCTCCTCTTATACACTTCTTTTCTTTTATTACTACATTTATATCTTGCCCTGTTGCTCTTACAAGGAATGCAAGAAGACTTGCATGGTCCTTCCCCTCTCAATGGTATCCTAATAGCAACAACCCTGTGAGATAGATCAGGCTAAGTGTCCATGATTGGCCTAAAGTTGCCCATGAGCATCATGGCCAAGTGGGGACTAGAACCCAGAACTCCCAGGTCCCAGTCCAACACTCTAACCACACACTGGCTCTCAGTTCAGTTTTCATTTGCTTTTCAATAAACAGAAAAATATATGTTTTCCTGAAACAATGGATTAGAATTCCTCTTTTTCCTTAGATGTTGTCCCTGAATTTGCTGATATTGATAAATCAAACCCAAACTGTGTGGTGATTGGTGACGCAGCAGACAACTTTTCTTACAAAAACCTTAATGATGCCTTTCAAGTTCTCATCAGTCTGGAGAATCCCATTCTACTATCTCTGGGAAGAGGGTAAGTGAATTGGTGTGTAGTTCCCTGAAATACTGGAAATGCTAGAGCTGTTTGTGGTCCAGGTGGTTCTAAGTCTGCTTGCTACCCCTTCCTACCCACCTCTTCACTTCTTTTGCTTCATTCTGGTTGCTTTTCTGGCAATAGCTTGCATGTGCTTGAAATCATTCAACTCTCTCTTCAAGTGATTTCTCATCCTTCGGAATGTGCAATGTATATTGATTTTGCTTTGGCCGACAATGTGATTGTGCACATGCATGCAGACTGCATTTCCCCAAAATGGAAAGCTCTGGTAATTGAAAGCAGAATCAGGCTTAGGGATATCAAGGATATCCACACTGGATTCAGATGAGTTTTGATTTCTATGAATATGAGCTGTGGATTCCTCAACGGACCAGCTTTTTCAAGTCATGTGGATTCTTGAAGGCTTGTGGACCACTTTGTTTGTTCGTTTGTTCTGTCTGTCTTTCTTTGGTCAGTGAGCAGGCAACTGAATAAAAGACCCCTGGTGTTCTGCTACACACAGATAGTGTTCTAACAAACTCCTTGCCGCCCTAGACAGATTACATTTCTTTAGATGAACGGTGCTGTTGCTTTTCCATTGTATGAGGTAGTGCAGTGTCATGGGTTGCAACATAGGTTGCAATTCAGATTTAGACTGAGTTTTTCATGTAATTTATTTCTATGACCAGTCTATCCTCCTATTGAAATACAGGAGCAATGTGCAACCCAAGTACAATTTTATGGAAAATGTTGATTTGGGGTTGGAGAGAGCTCAGTGTCGAGCACCTGTTTTGTCTGCAGAAGGTCTTGGGTTCACTTTTCTGCATCTCTAGTAAAAGGATTGGATAGTAGGTGACAGGAAAGGTTCTACCTACGGTTCTGGAGAGCAGCTGCCAATAAGAGTAGAGACTGCTGGGCAATATGGGATTAATATATAGAGTCAGTAATGGCATAGTGACGAGAATAGTGAACTAGGACTAAGGAGACACAGGTTTAAATCTCCAACCAGCCGTGAAACTTACAGGCTAACCATGGACCAGTCACTGCCTAAATTAAGAGAGTTTGAAATGTGTGTGGCAGGTGGGAGCCATAGATCACCTTGGTATATTGCTCCTGGAAGCAATAAAATGAGGTGGGATCTCCAGTCTTTTCTCACTTTCAGTTGTCAGGCCTCGATTAAACATTGTTTCATTGTTTTAAAACTGCAACTGTTTACTATGATAGTAAAAGCATGATAGCTGGGGTAGAAGAAGCGAGTACAGGTGTGTAGGTTACTGGTGAGGAGGCATTGTCCTTTTTATTGTTTTTTAATGTTTTTACGCTCTTTTAAATTAATTTTAATTCTTGTTAATGTTTTTATCTATTTTATTATTTTTGTGCTTCATTATAAATCACTTAGAAAACTTCAGCATTGGGCAGCAGAGAAATGAAATCAATAAATAAATAACATGGGGGAGTGCCTTGTCAAGAGAAATTGGACAGAAGTAATAGAAGAAATGGACAACCGTTGTCTTTGAGCAAACTTTTTCTTGGGCTCTGATTTTGTTTAGTTTAATATGTAGTCTAAAGAGTTCTAGAGAACTAAAAACTGAAGCTGAATCCATAGTGATATTTCCATGAATGGAAGTTCATTCATTCCATGAATGAACCCTTCTTCTGTTTGCAGAAGGGTTCTGTTGCAACAGAGGGTTTCTGCTGACAGAACTGGAGTTAATCCTCATTGATTCCTTTTGCCACCTGCAGTCCTCAGTTGCCCCTCAAATCTTCTCCAGTGGGTTGTAGGGCCCTCTAGAATGATGGGCAAGGTGGTGCAAAGGGAAGAGGAATCACTGAAGATCACCTCCTCCATTGTCTGTCAGCAGGACTATTCTTAAGCAAACTCTAGTCAGAACCTGGATCAAAGCCACAGAACTGAAAGTCTGTGGGAAAGCCACAGAGTGGAAAAATTCCCCCCTGTCTCTGTCCCTGTAATTTCCTCCTCCTTTTTTAATAAAAGCATCCTGCCCCACAGACACACACAAAGTCATGTTAGTCTCCAATGTAAGAAAAATCTAAACATTTCCAAAATAGCACAACATTGAAAGAGTCAACTTTCGAGGATAAGTGTCTTATTTTTGCTTATCCGATGTATTGTCAGACCATGCACACATACATATGAGATAGCACTTGTTAGCACTACTTTTTGATCATGTTCCTAGCATTTGGCTCTTTCATCCTCCATGCCAAGTGGCAACTTCTGCAGTAAGGAATTTGCTACTCATCTAGAGTAAATCTAGATCTAGACCACTAAATCTAGTGCGATTTAGAACCTTTATTGTGTAAGTGGATCAGAGCGTGTTTCCTACTGTGGACATTTGCTTGCTAATGCACAGAAGGCAATGGAGCCAAAGCATGGTCTAGCTCTTCCTTGATGTGATTCTAATCAAATAGAGCAGTAAACACCAGAACAGGAGTAGTTGAACTGACCAGGTTGGTTCTTCCCATGCATGTTCTGTTTGCCTTTGATGAACCTTTTAGAGACCAAGTGCCCAAGCTGCAACCCAACACCCACTTATTTATCACAAAGTGCCAACCCTACAATAAAACCTGAAAACTGAGGTTTTAGTTTAGAAAAAACAACTCGGAGCCAGCCCAAGTGAATATATATATATCCTTGGCAGCGCACTGACCAGCCATGCGAAAGCTCGGACGAGTCGCGGCTAACGAGTCGCGGCTTGTCACATCATTGCCTGGTGCCACTACTCCTTTCCGAGCATGCACATGGCCCTTATGTGCACTGTTATCTGATGTTTGGCTTCTGGGGCAATGCTGGGGTGACTTGGCTCATGTGCCGACAGAGAGGGCTCTGCATGCCCACTGTGTCACGTGTGCCATAGGTTCTCCACCACTGGCTTAATGACATTTTAAGGACTAAAGCATGGACTTCCCTTTTTAGGTGTAATGAGAATACTAGTACTAAATATACTTTAGTACAGTGTACTAAAGTATACTATACTACAGAATAGTATATAGTTTAGTATACTAAAGTACAGTATACTGTATACTAAAGAATACTAATGAGACTTAATCGGTGAATTTATTTATTTATTTATTTATATTGCAATTTATATCCTGCCTTTTTCCTACAAAGGGCTCAAGGCAGCTTACATCATTCTCCTCCTCCATCTTATCCCCACAACATCAACCCTGTGAGGTAGGTTGGGCTGAGAGTCTGTGACTGGCCCAAAGTCACCCAGTTGGCTCCATGGCCGAGTGGGTACTAGAACCCAGATCGTCTGAGTGCCAGTCCCAGGCTCTTAACCACTACACCACACTGGCTCTCTACACCACATTTGAATAACAATACAGTTCAAATGGTACAGAAGGAATTAATAATTCAAGGATCCATCCTGTCAAATCTTGCTAAGTGGGAATACACAGAAAGTTTCCCATGAAAGATATGCCTTTTTATCAGGAAAAAAAACCCACTCTTAAACTCCCCCAGAATGTTTTGGTGGTTATTGCTCAATTTTCACTCTGAAGTAGAACTGTAGAACTCATTTACTAATGGATACTACTGAGAGCATGGACACCTTGGACACCTGCAGAACACAATTATGGATGTGCCCTTATGCATGATATTAGAAAAAATTCCCCATTGAAATTGGTAAGCCATGCGTCTGAATACACATGCTTCAGATGTAAGTGAAAATTCATTATGTCCAATTAATTTCCATATGATACAACCACTGATTTTATGTAGGTCTACTGAGAAGTTCAGTTGAGTTCAACAGACTTAAATGTGTTTATAACTGGAGTCTTAAATGCCTTAGGGTGCACCTATTTTGCTGTATTCCTGGTAGCTGAAATGGAGTAGGTAGCCTCAGATTTCTTTATTGTTGTGTTAAGCCTTGCTTAGGATAGAGGTAAATAGAAATCTACTGTGAATTTATTGTTGGCTTTCTCTGATATTACATGTGGAAATACTGAAGCTCAGTTTTGAGCACTGCAAGCATATCAAGTGTACACAAACCTTGTAATGGGTATTCAAGTCTACTCCAGTTGAACTTTTAAGACCTTCCAAGACAGAGAAGACTGATCTGTCATTGCCTTGTGAGAAATAGGGACGCTAATTTTGCTTTCATTAAAGTTGTGATATCACCTACTATCACTACTTAGATGTGGAGTTTTTTGTTCTTTTGGTATTGCAGTAACATTGTTTAAAGCTTATGAGCATTAATACTGTTAATTTCTTCAAATTCACTTTGAATAGACTAATGATCTATCTGCAAAAGTTTTAGCTTGCTGGCTAGAAACCTAGAGCATTAGAGTTACTGGAGCAGAATGCTCTCCTTGTGAGAATGGAGTGATTTACATTTAGCATCTGTTTTGGGCTGAGAGTGGGAATTGGCTTTGTAATTTCTTCTGTCATGCCACTGTCAGAAAATTAAGCTGTTTACGCTAGACTATAGAAGGTTAATGGCTGTTCTAGCAAAGGTCAAGTGGTCATTTTAAAGAGAGGCTGTGCTGAATAATCGAAAATGGCAGAAGGATAAAGCATAAAATCTTATCTGACTGCTCATCGTACACATTTTTGTTCTCTACCTATCTGTCTAGGGACTTAAAAGAAACACTTGCATTATACTGGTTCTCTCTTATACTATATCTGAAAAGGAAAATTTCTGAATAACATTCAGAATGTTCACTGAAGAAAATGCCATTATTAGGCTTTATTGCTAAGTATAGTTACTTGAAAGTAAGTTTGGCCTTAGGATACCCAAAGAAACTTGGTCAGAAATAGTCTATCAGTTTTGGTGGCAAACCACTTAATCTTGTATTTCCACTTCTATTTGGTCAATAGGATGCCACATAACAAAGGCTACTTCACATATAATGGGAGAAAAAACTGACCTTGTTTACACATAATGCTAATCCATGCTATAAGTTGATGAGTTCTCACGATGTACGAGGCCACCCAGCTGTGCAAATAAACCATAGTTTGCTAATATAACCAATGATTTGACATGTTAGAAACTTGAAGTTAAGTTGTTGAGTTGTTGTTATCTGGGAATCCAGAATCTGGGGTTGTACATTTGGTTTTATGAAGCTACAGAGGCAGCAGGTAAGGGCAGTAACAAGAAGAAAGAAAAAAGAAACTTGTGATACATGGAGGGAGCAAGTGAAGGAAGAGGAAAACCTAGGGATCATCTGCCAGATAAGCTATGGCTGTGGGTATAAATCATAGATTAAGCATACCATAGGTTACTGTTATTTGCAACCTAGATCTGTATTTTAAAGAGATATGCATCCAGAAAGGAACTTTGGTCCATCTCCCTGGAGTATACATTCATCTTTTTTTAGAAATGTATGTATCATAGAGGTCAGTTGGGTAAGACAGTAGAGATCCATAGGGCCTCCCAGAATTCTGGTCCTGGAAAAAGTGTTTCACTCTTTTCCCCTTGCCACTTTCCATATGGAAAGCAGGTATGTTTTCATCAATAAGGCAGATAGTAGCCTGTGAAGACCATTTTCATTAGGAAAAAGGCATCCACTCCATTCAGTACCACAGAATAAAAGTGAGATTGAATAGAGCTGAAAGCTTAAAATAGGAGGTTTAACTTCATTATTGGCACTAATTTTAATCAATAAGGGTTGATTTTAATTGGTGGGAGTTAAGCCATACTAATTTATTCTGTAAAGGGGAGTTAAAGGAAAATATTTAAAGATGGCTCTTTGTTCCATCAAATAGTTTTTTAATTATGCAGAGTTTTGATAATTCAAAACAGAAACTTGTAGTAACATGCAAATTTGTTCACAGGCAATCAGTCAAAGGCTGCCAATGAGTTATCAGCTGATTGGTTCTTGTATATGTAATATGCTCATGAATATAACAAGGTCTGTTTATATGTTCAAAATATGTAGATTTGTCACAGCCTTTTAGTTCACAATGTGTTTTGGTTATGGTCTTTGCAGCAGAACAAGCTACGTCATCCTATTTCTGGTGTGCATACTTTTCGAAGAAAGACAACTGAGATAACATAGAATTAATTGCAAGTTTATTTCCACTCTGTGTGCGCACTTGTTTGAAATTCTGCAGAACAATATATGAATTTTATGAAGTCATGTGGAATGGTTTGCCAAGCCAGCCAGTTCATAGATGCCTGTGCCAAGCTAGTGATGACTTCTGCGGATCTGCTCCCATTGTTCTTACCTCGTTCCTTTCTGAGCCTGCATTCCTGCCCACTTGAAAGCCACGGGATCTCCTTATAGAGAACCATTGGTTCACTGGTTGATGTGTGTGTGTGCATACATGCACCCACACATTTGCGCTCCCCCATTCTCACTCACTTTACTGAGGGTTACCTATGGTATTTTGTCACATAAACATATTAAGCTATATTCTACCTAAGGATTTCTCCCCCAAAAGCCAATTCTACTGCTTTTGAGGGAGGAAAAAGTGCTGTATGAAAGTACAAGAAAAACATTTAAAACTAAAACAAAAAACTCCTCCCCCCACCCTCCTCTGAAGTGTTCAAGTATTTGTATTTTAACTGAAACATTTAATTTTCAGACGCTATTATAAAGAAACTGATGGGCTGAAACTGGATGTTGGAGCATACATGAAGGCATTGGAGGTATTTTAATTAATAGAAGAAATTTACATAATGCTTCAAACAGGAAAAGTTATGTTATTACACTGCACATTCATGTTTGTTTGTATTGATCAGTGTGTGGGCATTAGTGAATTGGAGATTCCTTATACAACAGATGGCAAGTGGGTTTCATTGCTTATTGCACTTTGTTCATAAACATTTTTTGAAAGAGGAGGTCTTCTTTAGAGTGGAGGGTGCACTGCCAGCTATGTGTGCTTCCTGATTTAACCTAGTTCTGGCTATTTGGAGTCCGAAATGCAGCTCAGAAAGTGGGTAGGGAGTTCCTCTGCTGGCGGGTAATGAGATGGGAGCTTCAACTCAGTATGACTGGAGGTTAGAAGAAGTGGGGTGAAGCAATGGTAAGGGGATTTGCTGTCTAGGAAACTCCAGAGGGCCAGGTTTTGACACACATTATCATTCAGATAAAAGTTGGTTCCTGTTACTGGAGCCTGGAAGTCCATTGTTCTTGTCAAAAGGCAGTTTGTCCAAGATCATGAAAATCACATTTCATCTTTGCTTTTAATCAAAGATTCTGGGAATGTTTACCAACCTGAACCAGCAAAATGTTGTTGGTAAAACAATTTCTGTTCCCAAACCTGTTTTTTCTGCATTCTTCCCAGAAGATCTTGCTGTCCAATATGAGGGGGAGAAGCAAGAGCCCCATCCATCTAGTAAATCCCTGTGGGCATTTTGAAGGAAGCTGTTTTATACATTCAGAAGGGCATCCTTCAGAATTGCAAATCTATAGTCACCAAATATTCCATAAACACTGAAGGTAGATTTTCAGTATTTCTACTGTCACTGTCCATAATTTAAACCATGCTTCCTTAGTAAAAATGTCAATAATTGCATGCCTTTCCACATAGCTTATTCATGTGTCTCTCCAGCTGACTCTCTTTGTTTTGAAAGCTAACAGTCTTAATTTTGTCTTTTCTCATAGTATGCCTGTGATATTGAGGCTGAGGTGGTGGGAAAGCCAGCCAAAATGTTTTTCCAGTCAGCCTTGACAGAGCTCGGCATTGAACCACACCAGGTAAGATTTCTTGAAGATCCTTCTCTAAGTGTGTTCCAGTGATGTGTCCAATGGCTGCCTTGGGCAGGGGAAATGCACACAAATAATCCTCTCTAACAAACAATGCAATGTAGGGACTGTGAGCTCACAGAAGACCATTCCTGTGCTTCTGTAAAAGAAAAATAGCATAGATTCATGGCTCCAATGCGAAACTGCTGGCGTTAGCTATTTAATCACATGAGCAAAGCTATTTGGGTTTTTGCTTCTAGCACAACCCTGAAATATATCACATTGCAGCATAAAACTCAATTAGTTTCCATTTAAAACATAAAGAAATGGAAACCAGAAGATAGTTAACGATGTCCAGTACCAGTAACAATAGATTAAACAACTCACTAAACACTTCATGTTACGAGAGCTCACAGTACTTCATCTTGCAGCAAAAAACAAAAAGCAGAATACCACAAGGTTCCTTAAGCTTCTCATTCAAACTGGTCCCTCAGAAGTTGGATGTGCATGTTAGCCCAGTAAATCCAGGGATTCATGCCAGGGTATCTTGAACCTGCCCTGAGATGTTAGGCACTTGCAGCACCACATACACAATATTTTATGGCATCACATTTAATTCAAACTTCAGTGAAGACAGACAGTGGGAGAGGAAATGGGAGAAAAGTCCACACGACAAGAGTGTGCTTCTGTAATACAGGTGTAATCAGGGCATGGTAAGCGCTGACATTGTGCTTTTCATCTGTGTGAATGACACATTCATATAGGACTAGTGAATGTTGCACACCAGAGCATGGAAATGGGTGTAGCACAGCATGGATCCAATGTGCAAGCAGTTTCTGGGGGCAAGCTTGGTTTACAAAGTGTGAAAATCATCCACGGGTGACCAGGGGTTGGGTGTGAGGAGGCACCTTACCTGGAGCAGAAGCAACAAAGTGAATGGCAGAAAGGGATAGCTGGGAAGCTGCTGGTGTTCTTGTACTGTCACTGGCACATAGTTGAGATCAGAAATCCTTTTCCCAAATTACCTTCTTAACTTTATAAGACTTGGGAGATCTGGGTTCTAGTCCCTATCCAGCCATGAAGCTTCACTGGGCCAGTCCCTGATTCTCAGACTCACCTAGCTCAAAACATTGTTGGGATGATAAAATGAAGAGGAGAAACTGTCTTGGTTCCTTGTAAGAAAAATGGTATGATATAAATATAAATAAGAAATATTCTACCACTGTTGTGCTTGTCAGTGTAGAAGCTGTTATATGACAGAGTAAAAAATTGTCTATAAGTTGTTGGTTATTTTATGGTCTGTTGTATTGCATTCAGTTAGCTTGCATCATTGTTAGTACCTAATGGAAGTTCTTAAATACATGTGCAAAGACAATATCAATATTTTCTTTTATACTTCATAGGGTGGGAGATTGTTTGGTTTATTATAATATGTGGCAGTTTGGCTGGAGCCAAAGATGTAGCTTCTGGCACAGCACAGACCTTCTCTTGGAAGGAAAAGTTATGATTTACAGGATAATAATTCTATCCAGTGGTTTGGAGGCTATAAAAAAACCCAGTATGTGTTGTGTCTTAGAACCTAGAGATGATGTTATGACCCCATATTTCATGCTTTGCTTGTTTTATCTTATTCTAGAATACAGGCATTAAGAAGACATAATAAGTCATCCAGGGTCAGATGTTTATTGATGACTGTTCCCTGAAAGGTATTTTAAAGCAGGGAAGTTGTTCACCCTGGTATGAAAATTCCAGAGTCTGGAATTTGAAATTGACTGTTTCAAAAAGTTTAGTATCAAGCGATAGGTGAGGACACATCAGTATTGAATGTGGATGTTGCCTGGGTGTGTGCACTTTCTGAGTCCCCTTCCTGTCAGTTCTCCCACACACAGCAAATAGTGAGTACATCTGACCGAATTTACTCGTAAATGCACAGTGCTTCTATGTGTTGTGCCATACAGAAAGAGCAACACAAAAGTATTCTCTCTCAATCTGACTGGAAGTATGGTAGTTCTGCCTACTTTCTTTTCAGCTTTTTCTCCAACAACAAACATCTGTCCTTGGCCCTTTTGTGCTGGCAGTTTTCTACATTTCTGTGTGGAATATTCCTAAAGAGTATATAACATGCTCAGGCCCTTAATGGGATCTTAATCCATTCCTCTGGGTTTCCCTTGATGGTCACACTCCCATTTCCTGGCCATACCTTCTTTCTCTAAAAATTGATCATTTGGTAGTTATTGAGCCTTTTCACATTCCCCCCAATTCTAAAAGGCTACAATTCCTCTCTTAAGGTTTAGTCACTTTAAGAGCAGCAAGCTAAAATATGCTGCTGTTGTTGGCCCTCAAGAGCACCTCCAAAATTTATTTGGTCCCTAGACTGAAAGAAATTCCCTGCTCCAATATAATACTAGTAAAAAAAAAAAAAATCAATATATTAGTTTGAATTCTTATGGCCAGCATTCTATAGTTCAGTGACTGTAACCTCCATTTACCCATTTTGTTTTGTTTTTTAATTATCTGATTTGGTGGGTGCAAACTGACAAAACACTTTCTGCAAATCTGCATGTTTGATATTTTAATTGATAACCCATTTCTCTGACTTCAATCATGATAAGCAACTGAACATCTTACCCCGATTTTTTGGATTTTATAACAAATGATGATAATACACAATAATTATAGCAGGAATTATTATTTTGAGATAGGAAAAAAATTCTCTATTTGACTACATTGAGGCATCAAAATTGTCTTTTCGACCATTCACCCTAACTTTAAACAAAAATTAATCATTTTGTTATCTCTAATTTTGCCAGTTAATATTCCTGAAAATGCTATCCACTCTGTACCTTACGATATATTATCAGTTTTTTGTAAGCTATGATCCTGATCTTTCTTCCTAGTTAACTTGTAGCTAAGCTGTATGCTTCCCTTTTTGTAATCTCCTTTCACAAGTCAATCCCTAACATTCTTAACTGTTTTTGCCTCTCTTCCCTGAGCTCTTTCCAATTTGTTGCTATCTTTCTGGTAATGAGATGGCCAGAACTGAACACAGTCTTCCACTTGTACTAATCCATTAATCCTAACTTGAAGGGCCTGGCAAGTCCCCCACCCTCCCACCTATTTCAGGGAAATGCATTTGACCAAGCAAGGGAGATTTTGAAGAAACTGCTTGGTGGACTTAAGTCCAATTGCTTCAGAAATGAACAGTACAGGACTACATAGAAAGGCCAGCATTTACACCTGGTGTAGGTTTAGAACCAGGGTGGCCAAACTGAGAACCAGGAGCCACATGCAGCTCCTTGAGTTTATTTACTGAGTTCCTTATTAGTAGAGTCAATTATGTAGTATGTCATTCCATTTCAGTGCTAATGCACTGCACTCTTTGGCTAAATAGTTCTCACATCTATCTAACTCAGAGTAGTCCATTGGCATCACCTGGTTTTGGATAATATCTTTATTTCTGGAAAATATCTTTTGATTTCCCATGTAAAGGAGAAATCTTTATGGAGTGCACATCCACTATCATCTTTTAAAGTTCAGAAGAAAAAGAATATTCTTATCAGTTAAGGCTCTGAGTAATATATTTTGGTGCTGACCCTTGAACTCATAGCTCCAGTAATGTCTTCTTTTCCTTAGCAAAGCCATGTGGTTGCATTCTAATACAAACAGATGCTCACATACACTTTCCCTTGACATGTTCACATCCGTAAAGGAAATTGGTAATTCCCTTACCAATATTCTTCTCCTTTATTAACCCCTGGCATTTTGCTCTGGATGTGTGCCAATAAAATTTTTGAACTCACATTTCACAGAAGGAAAACTGATGAGACTCTGAGACAAGTAACTTTATCAAGGAACACTACATGGCAGAAGTAGGGGCTAAACTGCTAATGCTTGGTCACTTATTTGGCCCCACAAAGCACAACAAAATACCCATTTTTGAGAAGGCAAACTGGTGTTGCTCGAAGTGCAAACATAGCACAAGCAAAACAACCCTCTTTGCTTTCTACCGGTTTGTAGACCCCTAGGATGCTCCGTGGGCCACATCTGGAATGCAGAGACATTTTTGCCAATAAAGAAGTTTGACAGTCCTTTAAATTAAGAAACACTTTAAAAAAAGAGAGTATCTTTTAAAACTTCAATTGGTTCAAAATGACAGCTATACTATAATGAGGATTGGCAGTCCTCTACAATCTCCACTGGCTACCAGTTGAAGTCCAGGCCCAATTCAAGGTGGTAACCATAGCATTTAAACCCCTGAATGGCTTGAGGCCTGGGTATCTGAAGGAGCAGTCTTCCCATATGAACCTACCGGACCCCTTAGATCTGCATGTGAGGCCCTTCTGAGAGAGGCCCCTCCTCAGGGGGGCAGTAGCAAGAAGAAGGGCCTTTTCAGGAAAGCTACCCTGACTCTGGAATGAGCTCCCCAGGCAGGTTCACCTGGCATGGCCATCTTTATACTCTTTTTGGTGCCAGCTGAAGACCTTTTTATTTTGCCAGTATTTTAATTGTTAAATTGGTTTTTAATGCTATTTTAACAAAAGGGGATATGTCTTTTATGAAATCGGGAGTTCAACTGGGAGTGCTCTTGTTGCTGGTTTTGATTGATGTTTTTATACTGTTTTTCATTGTTCTTATTTGGTTTTTATTGTTGTAATCTGCCCAGGGATCCATTTGGCTAGTGGGATGGGCTAGAAATCACTCACTCACTCACTCACTCACTCACTCACTCACTCACTCACTCAAATAAATACATATTTAAACAAGCAGGAGTTGTGAGGAGCCTGAAAAGTGTCTGTGAATACATTGATGCCCATTGGCAAGTTAGAAACTCAGGTGTTAGGCAATCAACCTGGGATCATTCCTTGCATGGCAGTGTGTTCAAACTTCTTACCTTGGAAGAACCTTTTAAACAACAAACCTCAAGGTAAGTAAATAATTACCCTTTAATGTGGCACAGAATTCTAGAGTGCATTCTAAGTTGCCTTCTAAGTTCATGCCTGGTGCAGATGAAT